CAGCGATCCTTAAGGAACATAGGCTTCTATTCTTCGGACTGATGAGATAGTACTGTTGATTCTTATACGGAAATACCTCTCGTGTAGAAAGCTGACGAGAATTTTGGTCAGCCCGACTGGAATACCAAATCGAGACATTTTAACAATCAGGTCGTCGTGACAAACCTTGTCAAATGTCTTGGCGATGTCAAAAGTAATCATACACGTTGATTCCCTTCTGCTCAGAGCTGACTGTATCATCTGAGCCGTTCGCACCTGTTGTAATTCTGTAAAGAGGTCTTCCCTAAAACCAAATTGTTAGTCAGGGATAATATTCAGCAAATTCTGTCAAGAATCACTCTTCACTAAAGCTGAAAGCAAGGTGGTTGGGCGCCATTTCTGTGAGGTAGACAAGGAAAGTGTTTCACATCTGCTTTATTTTCATCCAGTGTTTGCACATTGTAGATTAAACATGTTAATGATTGAGTTTTGAGAGGATATTAGTTAGTTGCAAGACCTCATTTTTAAGTACTGGGTTTCATTATGAATTCGAAATGGTTTGAAATCAACGCAATGGGCCAATATGAATAAGTGGGTTACTAGCACACTGTAATAACTGAACTAATCATTGTGTTAAAATGGTTATTGAATAATGATAGATGGAACTAAAATTTTGATAACTAGAAACTGGTAAATGTTATGGCACGTTTCCATTAATTTAAAATGCATAGAGGATTATAATACTACGGAAACAAAATTATAAATCAATTTAGAAAAAGTTCTGAAGATAAAACTAAAAGAATACACAACTTTGAAAAGTACAGTTAAATTAATAGTCCAAAATGTCTGTATAAATAGTGCAAATCAAAAAAATCGGATTGTTTTTAAAATATTCCAAAATTTTTTTAATTAGAATAAAAATATCGGATGAGTAGATTATTAAGGCTCAACATAAAATTTAAAATTGTAACTTCGAAATTGAAATCCTGTTCATATTCTCCACGTTGTTATTACATCTTGAATAATACTTTACATTTTATATCTACAATTCCATAAATATTTCATTATAAATTTTTTTTTTATATATAATTGCAACTTATATTTAGAAGAGCAAACAATTATGGTTAATTTTGTACCGCATTTGAAATTATTATTATAATTACCCTTTAGGAATCACTCCGGGAGTATCAGCTCCTTTATCAGATTTATATATTATATCCAGGATTTGATGAGATATATTTCTATTTATATTTGTATGACAGTGTCTTTCCAGGTAGCACAGCCGGGTGAAGTTTACATCGCGTTGCCTTTTAAGGAACCTATTCTCATGGGTTTGAATATGTACATTTTCTATAATTTGATCTATAGTTTTAATCATATTATTAATAGAATCAAAATCTATTGATGCTTTTTTTATGACGTACGATTCATTATTTTTTACAGCAACAGACACACCTTTAACAGAATCCTCAGGAGCAATATTTGAGACATCTGATGCTTTTTCAATAACTGATGAGTCATTTTTTTTCACGTCAATAGACTTATTTTCAATAGCGTTACTCTTGAGATCGATACTTGAGACTGCAGAAGTATTTTCAATTACAAAGGATTTATTTTCTTTTACATCACCATTCCCATCATTCACTGAATTCTTTAGACTTGTATTTGAGACGTTCGAAGCTTTTCTAATCACAAAGGATTTGCTTTTTTTTACATTACTGCCTGTACCAGCGGTACTTCCGAGACTGCTTCTCTTCTTGTTACCTTTTTTTAAACGTTTTTTCTTTATTGACGGATTTGATACTGTTAAATGCTTTAGGTTTTCATTTGCTATTATAGGTTTTTTACTTGGCTTCACATATGGTTTTCCTTCATTAGTTAACTTCATGGATTGAGAAGTCTCTGATAATGCATCCGAATCTTCACTTGATCTTGAGCCTACGCATATAGTAAAAGTCTGATTGGAGTGTGTCTCAGTGACTTTGCATTTTATCTTATCTGCCTGTTTTGATAGACCTGTGACTATGGAGCATCCATTTCTTTTCTGTATAGGATCGTAGTCTACTAAAGTACAATCCTCACGATTGGCTTCGAAAAACTTATGAAACCATTGAAGAAATTCGAAGTTGGCTTGAAAACGAGATTTAACTAAGTCATTGATGGGAATTTCTTTCGAAACGTTAACCTTCTTGAACGCATCTTGCAACAATTTGAAGTTGTTAATATATTGATATTCAAGATTAGTGGAAAATTTTACTTTATTTATAGGAAGGACGTTATTGAAAAGCATATCAAATAATTGACAATAACCAGCTCCAGAGCACATTTCTTCAATTTTAATCAAATCCACGCAGAGTGTGTAGTTGACCCAATTGAGTAACTCAAATCGGGAGTAACCTCTCGTTGTGTTACACGTCCAAATGACATTTATAGCTTTTTTCATTGTGACAAAATTACAGGAATACGATATGTATGAAAGTAAGATTCAAGCAGAGAACATTTATTATTCCAACAATAAATTTCTTTCAGATTTGTTTCTTGAAATTGCAATATATGGTTTGAATTTGAAATTTAGTTATATTTAATTTTTTTTGACTGCTTTTTAAAATTGTTTGCCCAAATAAATTTCATTTTAAACTCGAATAAAAGTATTAATAAGTGATTTAAATTTTATTGACTACTATGATCATTGTAGTCGTTCGATGTAGAAGTTGCAGTAATCTCTTTCTGAATTAAGTGTTCTGTCAAAATGATATATCTACTTACAATAATAGTAAGAGCTAAGCATACTGACAATGTGCCTTGCAAGTATTTTTACAGAATTTTAACTTGTATCTTAGTCTTAAATTTCTTTGAACGAGTTACCGATATATTGAATTGTTAATCTAAATGATAGAAACATGCAACTGTTGTGCTGAATAATTTATCAGGAAGTGACATACATTCTTTATTATATCAATAACTTTAAGTGTGGATTCACTTTCACTTCATTTGAACTGGCTATATATCGAAATTATTTTAAAAACTTTTCGAAAGGTGTATGTGTACCTACGATCAAAAAGTGTTAAGTAAGTTATTGGTCTTGCTCGTCACTCAATGTCCAACAAAATTGCCGTGCTAGTGGGGCACTGTATCATGGGTTGTTATGTCAAACGATTGGAAGCTCTTTTCAACAATTTCTTTGTACAGTAGTTTAAGGTCAGAGGAGGAAGAGTATGATGTGACTAATTTACTCTGTCTTAGCACTACAGTAACCAAATAGCGTGCATACAATCTAGCGTTCTCCTACTTCAAATGTCTGTATGTTATATGGATAATATATATTTATTAAAGACATTACCCGTTTCCTTAATGTGATATACTGGTTAATCATTCTGAAATTGAACT